TTAGTGTAAAAGCTCATCTTTAAAAGTATATCCTTAGAACAGTTGTTTGGAAGATTGGTAACATCCATCCTGAATCATACTACATCTTACATAGTTTGATTCCTCCATTCGGAAAACATTTTTCTTAGTGGAGTTAGTTGTAAACTAATTTCACAATCTTCAAGATGATCATCAAGATCTTAGCTCAAATGCTCATCATTACTATCATGTCGTCAATGCTTTTGAATTCTTGCCAAGTTAAGATTTTGTTTCAAATGTTCACCATCACGATCATATCACAATGCTTTCATTGTCTTGTCAAGTCTCTTTTACTCTTCATAATGATTCTTATTGAACTCCTTCAAAATTTTCAGATTTATGCTTCATGCATGTGTGATCATATCACAAATGACGTGTCCATGTTCATCTCTAGCCTTTGAATCTTAAGTTTTCTTACATCGTTATGTATTCAACCTCAGGTTCATGCCACCTTTTCTCCAAAAAGACGAACTTGACATTTATCAAACAACAATAAGATTCACATACATCAATGGATTCATAATCTTATGATGTTAGAAGTCCATCCCTTTGGAGCTTCCGTATGCGATTCTATTTTATTTTGATGAAATTAACATTTCTAGAGATGATTTAAATAGAAATGGTTCATCTATATCTAACATATAGAACTTGTTATCCCATTTAGCGTTTCAAAACATTCCTTGATTCAACTAAGCACAAGAAACATTTATTCAATGCTTATGAATCTTTGACATTTAGTGATAACCACAATGAAATGATGTTTTGATTATAGAAAGAATGTAATAACGATTGTATAATCCGATGCTAAATAATATGGTTATGTGAGATGTAAAGTTGTACATGTAAAAACAACATTTGCTTCTCACATTGTAGATTTACTTCTCCCTTATCCAATTTCCACTCATTAGCTAATCTTGACATCATATGTCAAATAGGAAAAACTTTGCTAAATCAATTTTTATGATATAATACTTGATGTGGAACATTTCCATTCTTTAGTTCCAGCTGTACTCTATGGGGTGGTTTCTAATTTTCTTGGAGCTAGTCCTCAATTTGAAACATTTGCTATTCATAATAGCATTTGACATTTTAGTAGCCTCGGGTTTTGGAATTAACAACTTATTTGCCTTTTCTTTAGCCTTTAGCTTCTTATTGTTGTCCCCATTCTTCTTAAACCTTTCCCATTTAAACCATCTAGAACATTTCTTTTAAGCTCAAAATGATACTATGCTCAACTACTCTAAGTATCCTACATAATTTTGATAAAACCATTCAACACATTTCATGTTGGAGTTTAATCTTGTATTTAACACCGCATGCAATAAGTGAAGAATGATGCCACTTAGTCAACATTTGACGGTATGAAAATCCAAGTGCTTCTCCATGTTCAATCATATTGAAGATAAGGAATATTATTGGATTCTTCATTTGAGTCGCACTCAAGATGTCTTTAGAGGTCTCGTACCTCTCCATCGTATCCAATCGCTTGAAACATTTTCGAAAAGAACAATGGTGTATGTAACTATCCAATTATTCAGACCTTTTGAGTTCTTGGAAGCTATCATTAGACATATGACATTTCACTTAGGCTTTTAATGCACTTTTAGCCTTTAAAACATTTTAGCAAAACTTGGATAATGGTTTACATATATTCTTTTAGTGTTGAGAACGTTTCTCAATATTTGTATCAATCGAGGAGATAACATATATAAAACGATAGTTTATCAAGAAAGACATAATATTTACAAATAAATACAAAGTTCAACTATGTTTATCGAAGTAGTTTATGATTCAAACATCCTTTGAAATCATTTTATCTACTTTACACTATATTCATTTTATGTCCCTTTATAAATAATGTGATTCCAAGATCCTATCCCTATGTAGCATTAAGCGGACGGAGACCCTTCCTTAAGGTTACATTTTTAAGGTAAGTAAACTAATTTACTAATTAAAAATTCTTGTAACTCTAGGTTGGATAGATAACATCACATTTTCAACTATTCCCTTGCTTCAAAATCCAAAACACTTTTGATGATTTGTTGAGGACAACCAAATTAAGTGTGCAAAATTCGCAATTTCACCTCACCTCCCAAGATAATAATAACACCATGCGGAGGCATGACCTATTACTATTAATCAAGGGTTTAATAATTACTTTATATTTGAAAAAGCGAGCCTCAATATTTGTGGGGGTTAAGTTTATTATGTTGTTATAAATTAGTGAACTCTAGCGCATTTGATAACCAACATTCAATAAACTTATAAACATTTTAAGAATAATAATAAAATGATTAAAATTAAATATGAGCTAGTATAGCCCCTAATTTTAAGAACTAAGCTTGGTTGGGCACCTCCTTGGACACTTCATTGATCTCCATCCACCTTCGTCATGGGTCTTCTCATCTTGGGCTCTTCTTTGGATTAAATAAGAATTTAAAAAGTTTAAATATTGCTAATTAAATAAACTACAAATATACTTAATGATACACAGATCGTATTTAAATTACAAAAATGCATAACGATACGTAGATCGTATTTTCTAATTTAAATCTTGGGTCATACTAGTCCTTTATAGTAATAATAATGATATCATATATACATATAATTGCCAAATAATAAATCACCTAGCATATTTTGCCTGAACTAAAATATCAGATATTCTTAATTAAGGCAACGTATATTCCAAAACATTACATATTTTAAGACATGATTAGATAATATCTTCAAAATATTTATTACCATAATTAAAATATCATATATTTAAATTAGGCATGGGATGGAATCAAATAAATATATAATCTAAGAAAATAAATCACATTTATATCCTAGGATTATCTTAACCAATTTAAAAGTACATCCTAATCCCTAGCCAACCATCCAATTTTAATTAGATTAAAAAAATCAAATTATGGATTGCCACATAAACCAAGTTAAATAAACATAATTGGAATTGCTCAAAAGTCACCTAAAATTAAAATTTAATAAAAAAAATAAAAAAAAACATTCTTTTTTAAAATAGGGACCTGCATGATTGAACAACTACCAAGCCACGTCTCAGCCGTCGCAACAGCTAGGCCGGAGCCCAGCCACCGCTCCATTCTGCCGCCGCAACCAGGCAGGCAGGCAGTCGCCAAGCTACAGCAGCGCTGGCTGGCACACCAGGCATCAGCCCAACACACCAACCAACAAGGTGCAGTGACTGGATCCGTGCAACCCCCCACTGTTTCCTGCCCTACCTTGAAACATCGCCCTACTGCCCCTGCTCCCTTAACGACCACCGGAGCAGCCATCGTGGCCCACCGCCAAGTGGCTCGGCCACCCAGCCGTGATTGCTCCCAATCAAGCCTAAAATTTTCTCTTTTTTTGAGTGAATTTAATTCTACGACTTTTGTAAAGTTAGATTAGTGCTCTAATTAAATTAAACATAAACTATTTTATGCCTAATTCAGAAAATTAATCTAAAATCTACATTTTAACTAATTAAGGGCTTTTCATATAAATTAACCCCTAATTCATACAAAACTCTTTTACATGAATTAATTCATCATAAAACACTTTTAAGTATGAAAAATTAGATTAAAATATATGAAATTAACACATAAAATTTGAATTATTATGGTTCATAACACATCAAATTTTCAAATAATTAATTAAGGCTTTTAGGGCTTAAAAACTCGGCTAGGGTTAGAAGCATAATTGAGCAATTAATTATCTCCATTTAATCAATTCCAATAAATCAAAATCATATTTTAATTGGGTTATTCGATCCATAATTCAATTCCTCCCCTTAATTGACTACAATTAACATAGAACACATCAAAATATCATATTATTGTGACTAATAAATTATATGTAAGGGGCTAACTATACCACTGTAAGGTTTTAGGTACTCTAAGCGGAATTTCATAAATCTCATTCACACGCATTTAAACAGGATTTCATGCATATACAAATAAAGGATCACATAATAGTTTAGAGTTAACCTTTGATGCGTGAATTCCCAAACTTTCTTCAATCTTCTTGCGGATATTAGAGTCTCAATTATTGCTCCTCTATTATTGGTCCACAAGTGTAGATCGAACTTTCACCAATGCTAGTTGGACGGGAGAGATTAATCTCCTCTTCTATAGAGAGTTTCTAGCCGGTTGTAGAGAGAGGAAGGAAAAAATATTACGTTATTTCTTTATGAAAGATGAACTTCTTATTATTTTTCTCCAAGCCCTTTATTATACAATCATATTATCCAATTAGGGCAAGACTTATTCCTCTCTAACTCCTTATGGCTAGTCATTCACTAAGCTCAACTTTTGGACTCGATTTCTTTGTTCGACCTAACACTGTAACGTGTGACCTCATAGGATCCATTTGGCATTGGTTTATCCTAATGATCAATATTGGTCTCTAGCAAGACGTAAAAACACTACTACATTTAAGAGCTAATACAACGGCTTTTTTTGTTGTATTAGGTGTCAAAAACCGTTGTATTAGACCTAATACAACGGTTACCAACCGTCACATTTGCAAGGGTTGGATTAGGTCTAATACAACGGCAAAATAGACCTAATCCAACGGATTGAGCAATCCGTTGGATTAGGTTCCCTTTTGTTTTTTTTTGGGAATAATTGGACCTAATCCAACGGATTGATGAATCCGTTGTATTAGGTATCTACCTAATCCAACGGATTTTTCGCCCAATCCGTTGGATTAGGTCCTTTAATTTTTTATTTTTTTTTACATCTGTTGTATTAGCCCCCCTTTTTTTTATTTTTTTTAATACCGTTGTATTAGCCCCCCCTTTTTTTAAAAAAAAAAAAAAAAACCGTTGTATTAGACCCCTTTTTATTCTTTTTGTTTTTTAAAACCGTTGTATTAGGTAAATTTTTTATTTTTTTTAAATCTATAATAATAAATATAAATTATATTAGTATATTTATAATTTAAATAAACAAATTAAAGTACATATAATATATCTTCGTTCGTTGCATTACGAAATAAACGAAGTACATATAATACATATTCGTTGCATTACAAAAGTAAACGAAGTGTCAATACTAACTAATTATAAATGAAAGTTCACTAGCTAATTAATTAACAAACGTTTAATTTGAAAGCTCTTAGAAGTTGCAATAGATACATAAAATCAACATTAGTCCTTACTTCATTCATCCCGGGGTAGCTCATCGTCATCAACCACCTAAGTAAAAAAAGTAATGCATAAGCCACAATACCAACAACAATAACAACACCAATTGGGGAAATTAAATAACGCACAACAACACACAAATCAGTCATCAAAGTACAAAATATACAATAAGAGAACAAAAATCAGACATCCTTGGCAAGATATCATCATTTTAACAGTTTTCCACATCCAATGGTAAGTGAAATCAAACAAACAAAAGACATCAGAAGGCTATATCAACAGTTTGAGCTAATGCTATGTTTAAACAGCTCGAAGTTGTTAAATACCAAGAACATATTAATGTAGAATGCTGTAAAGATTTAAGCAATACTTGTATGCAGTATAGTATTTTTACAAGGGCCTCGGCCCCCTTGGGATAAAACAAAGCTTCATCCCAGGCTAAGAATTACTTAGAGAGAGTTGTGGCCTAAAGCTACTAAGAGATTCATGGCCTTAAGTCATGCGTTTGTAATCTGAAATTAGTTATCAATAAATACCAACATTCTCCCTAGAAACATTAATTACACTGTTCAGTCAATTATTAGCAATTAATTCCTTGAGTGAGCCTTGATTTTCTGTTTCAATTGAATTAGAGTCAGAGCAGGGAGGAGTGAGAGTTGCTGCAGCAGGGGTCGGCTAGCCAGTCTCTGACAGTCTCACATGGGAGACAAGATCCAGCATAATGTGATCAGCATACGACATTAATTATCGCACACCTGATTGTTATGCTCGGGGAATGCTAGAGGGAGATAAGGAGTGGAATGATGCAAGTTGTGAGGCTCTATATGGGCAAACTCAGCATAACTACGCCAGCCCCTTCTATAGTAGGCAGGCAGGCAGGTAGGCAAGCAAGCAGGCAAGCAGTTAGGCAGACAGGCAAGCAAGCAGGCAAGCAGGTAGGCAAGCAAGCAGGCAAGCAGTCAGGCAGGCAGGCAAGCTTTCAGTCAGACAGGCAAGCAGTCAGTCAGGCAGGCAAGTCAAGCAGTCAGTCAGTCAGTTAGTTAGTCAGGCAGGCAGGCAGTCAGTCAAGGCTCAGGCAGGCAGGCAGTCAGTCAGTCAGGCTCAGGCAGGCAGGCAGGCAGTCAGTCAGTCAGGCAGGCAGCCAAGCAGTCAGTCAGGCAGGCAGTCAGTCAGTCAGTCAAGCAGTCAGGGGAAGTTTAGAAATTAAAGTTTAGAGCAGAGAAGTGCAGATTATACCTGATTAAATGATTTTGAAGATTGTCCACTTTGGGCAGTATTTCGATTTGGTGCACTAGATGCATCATGCGGAGTCAATTGCTGCAGAGTACTAGGAACCACAAGATTAATCCCGGGGTTGACCTCGCGAATCGAATCCAAAACTGCAGCGGTGATGGTAGGTGCAATTTCTTGGACTAATTGTGTTTTTATGCCTACCAGGAATTCCTCCGGGAGTATGTAATTTGACTTTGTATCTTTGTTCTTCAAATCACTCTTCTTCACACCCGAGCCATATAGAATAAATGGATCTTTTTTCCAATTCTATAACAGTTGCGACATCTAGCGATCTCACACAACATCCCCCATTGTAAGTTGATAAACAAATCCAAACTACAATCGGCATAACCAGAATGATGACAGAAATAACAAATTTCAAGCAGAATGGTTAAGCATGTGCTCATTCCAATATCATTGCCTGGTCGGAACTTGTAAAAAAAAGGTTGGCTTCTGAGAGTTCTAACCACACAATCAGCAATTATTTATAACAATAGTACAAACATCCATAACATGCAGATATCCAATTCAAAATTTTAAATTAGCCAATAAGTTGCATTTCAACTAAATAACAAATTGCTGCAACCAAATGGAAATGCTTTAAAAACTACCCCTGCAAAAGAGAATTTAAGGAAATAGAACAAGCAGCCTAACCTTGAGTAAGGGATGCAAATGACCACCTTCAAGTGGAAGACCTTTAGCTTTAAAGTTGTATTCTTTGAGTTCCAAATTCTTCCAGGCACCACTGAGATAACATGCCAGCATTAGAAAGTCAAACAGCAGGAAAAAAATAACTAAAACCAAGCTCCCGCCAAAATGTCAACAAGTCATAAAAAGTTTGCTCATAGCAACACAAGAACAGATTACACTCATTACAGAGCACCAAGGCACAAAAGGCTAATTGGTAAGTATGCCAAAATTGGCGAGAGGGTATGTCACAATGTAAACTGTGCAAAGGGATCACATGACACAACAACTTCACAAATGGAACAAGGCCTGAAGGCCAACAGATTTTCAAACCAATTCATCACTGAAGCTTAAAGATCACCACTGGAAATACCATCAATTTATCAGAGCAATACCAGGCTTATGCAATAAATGCCAACATGTGTGTGTGTGTGTGTTTATGTTGCATGTCAGCTAGGTGAGCTAACCATATCCAATTTGTGAAGATAGAGAAATGTGAGTACAACACAATTAGAATCAAAATACAAATGACAGAAAGCTAGTTTGAATATGCACTTATCAGACAGTAACAAAATTAGATGAAAATCAGACACAAGCATGCAGTAATCAGTTTAGTTGTTCACTTACGCTTAGAAATTCAAATATGCACTTATCATATCCTCTCAAGAGTATGAAACTACAATTACTGAACTAATTTACAAGAAGTGAAGTAGTTTCTCCGAATGGATCACTTAGTTAGAGAATGGATCACTTAGGTGTAACAACAGCACACAGGGTTGCGGTTAGCTAGCAAATCGATCACTTAGGTGTTGATACTTGCTACAACACAGGGATTCGCAGCACAAATCAATTAGCAGATCATGTTAGTGTGGAGATAACCCATTGCTGCTAGCCTGTTATGATCATAGATATCTGCTCATGCAATCCTCAGGTTTCTAAGAAAAATGGGAAAGAGATATTTGATGTTGACTGAATGCTCTAACTACAACAGAAATGCACCTATCAAGCACCTCCAAATCATCATTCCTCAATTGACAGAAGTGTGAGTCTAAATTCAGGTTTTTCCTCCAGAAAAGAAACTATGTGTCTATGTTGGATGTCGAATTTAAGTCCATCCCACAAAATTACTAAGCACTTAAAAGATAGATGACTTCATATTACAAAATCAACAATGGCAACAACAGCCACTAAGTAGTACCTATTACAGTTTTGATGGGAGTGTGGAGAGGTCTACATTGATACGACTCCACCGGTAAAGGCATACCCTCAGTCGTAATCAAGAAACAAACAGAAACTAAAAAAGAGACTCCACCAAGGTAGTGTTTCAAACAGGTAGTCATGTCTATTTTCTTCTAAACAGGTAGTCATGTCACTCCTAGTTGACATATATTTAGACCCGGAAAAGCACAGCAGCATTGAAATTGCTCTTCACATTATAAAATGGGAGTAATGCACCACGAATAGAGAACATCCGTAGCTGCAGGCTGAACATTGCACTGATGCAAAAAAATAACCTTCGAAGCAAATTCTCCACTTCTTTCCACAATACTAATAATTTAGTTCTCCACTTGTTTTCGCTCTTTAACATTTCACTTTAGATGTGGCAGTAGTACTAATAAAAATTGACCAAATTCTCCACTTCTTTCCACAATACTAATAATTCAGTTCTCTGCTTGTTTCCATTCTAAACCCCCAAAACTTACAGAACCTTTCATTTCATTCATTAATTTTTTTGAAGTTTTCAACTTTATTCTAAAAGAAAGAAAAAAAAAAAGAAGAAAAGCAAGTATGGCAGTTGTAGAGATGGTAGTTTCAGCAATGTTTAAAGAAGTGTTGGAAAAACTGGTTTCTGAAGGAGTGAAGCAGTTCGCGAAGCTGATTAAAATTTAGGAAAGAAATCAGCTAACTAAAATTTCACAAAGGACTTTTCATCGGTGACATTCAATGGGAGATAACTAAAATTTCACAACAAAAATCAGCTAACTTCAACAGGTATATGTCAAGTATTCCCAAATAAACCCCCAAAAAAAATTAGGGTTCATAAATCGAAAAACCACCCCAACAACCACCCTCAAGCAAGCAATCAGCCACATGCAACATTCGAACAAATCAACAAATCTAAATCCAAAGATTCGAGCAATCAGCCACATGCAAGGTTCAAACTAAAACTAAATACAAAACAAAATCAACCTACCTCAGATAGAGATTCGAGCACAGAAAAGCGAAAAGGCGAGGAAGGAGAACGAAGCAACGGCGGCGGCGAGAGAGGAGAACGGAGGAACGAGCAGCAGCGAGGGAGGAGAACGAAGGAAGACTGCTGAGAAGTTTGGGAATTGGGGTTTCAATTTCATTTTTGGCTCTAATATTTCAGCATTCCCGGTTTTTTTTTTGTTTTTTACTCATCCGTTGTATTAGTTATTATTATTTTTTTTCTTTTTATTAGTAATTGGGGTTGATCCGTTGGATTAGCTACAGTGGTCCGTTGGATTAGCTCCAACTAAAAAATAAAAAAAATTAAAAATTTCGGGAACACTATCCGTTGTGTTAGAAGAATAATCCGTTGGATTAGCTCATCTAATACAACGGATTAGTTTATCTAATACAACGGTTAGTATAAACCGTTGTATTAGCCCTGTTTTAGTGTAATACAACGGATTAGCCTTGTCTAATACAACGGTGTAAAATTAGCCGTTGTATTAGCTATTTTTGTACCGTTGCATTAGATAAAAAATGTAGTAGTGAAATGACCCAACGAAACGAACTTATTATCTCCATAATACGATCCATATTATATTAGTAATTGCACGATAGTCGAGGACACATTTCCTTCATGATGAAATGTTATCTATGTGTGGGATACACAGCGAATACTTTTTTTAGTATGCAAGTTCTTTTGGAATCAACAATGATGTTTACATGGTGAGATACTATTGAATGATTGGCTACTAATTCATCTGTTAGCTTTTTAGTAATTGAAATGAATCTCTTTTATAGCATCAAGCATTTTGTACTCATGCAGCCTCCAGATATATATCTGATCGATGAATCGAGTGCTTACCTTGATTCTGAGCAGCATATTGTTGCTTCAAAGGTGATGCCTTGTTTGAAGGTCATGCTTAGATGGCAAATTTTTTGGGATTGTCGGGGTGTAGCAAAGCTTTATGCTCGGTGTGATTTTTTTAAAATTTGTATTGTTAATGTTAATGCTAGTGATGCAATTTGTAACATCTATCAAATTTTTTCCCTTGGAATAATTGCAGCTATCAACATTCAGAAGGGACCCAACTAAGTTTTGACCTAGGATTAACAAGCTAGAGTCCACTAAGGACAGGGAGCAGAAATCTGCAGGAACTTATTATTACCAGGATGATTGACTTGGCTCTCTCACAGGTTTTCTCTTCTATCTTTTCTATATTTCTTTTTCTATGTCTTAGTTCTGTAGTCCAATTGTCTCAGTGTCTGTGCTTGTCCTTAGTCTGGTTTTGGAGGCTAAACTTAGGTTCTCCAGTCTTTGGAGGAGTGTTCCTTTGTTATTTCTTTGTTTTTCCAGCAGAGTCTGTGACCTTTAGGGGTCTTTATAGGAGAATAATGACAATCTTGTGAATGGAGAAGCTATTTGCATGCTGGTTTTCAACATTGTGAAAGATTAAAGGTGTTGATTAGCTTGACACAACATGACATGACATATGAATTGTCTAGATATGCCTTGTTGCTACGCCAGATAGGTATTTGTAAAATACGTATTTGACTAGATAGGTATCTTAATAATAATAGATAAAAAGTGTTGATTGGCTAGATAGGTATTTTAAAATACGTATTTGACAATATACACATTTTTTTTTACATATTTGATTTCACTAACAAATTGGTATCATTTTTCTTGTTAACCAAAGGAATTTCTTAAAACGTCGTACAATACACTATGTATGATTCAAAATATGCTAAGAATCTGATTTTTTTTTTTTTCATTTTTTACTTAAATTTTTTAGTTGTTAATATTTTTTGTGGAAGGATACATCAAATATTTTATTTTAGTAATTTTTTAATATTTGGTATTCGAAGTACTCTCCTAGAGCTTCTAATATATAATTAAAAATAATATTAAAAAAATAAAATCCTTGTTGTAATATTTGACACAAATTTTATTAAATATCTTATTTATTTCAATTTTTTACTTATGTTACTTTATATAGTTGTCAATGTATTATGGAAAGATGCATCAAATCTTTTATTAACTTATAAATTTGTTATCTTTAATTTATTTATAAGATTTATTTCATAAATAGATTTTTTTTAAATAAAATAAAAAATAAAAAACTAAGGACACATCAGGAGATTACACGTGTCGTTGGTGGTGTATCTTTTAGTATGTACTAGACTAGATAAAACCCCTGCAATGCACGATTTTTTTTATTTATTTTTTTATAATTTTACGGAGTACTTATATTAGCCATATAATATTTTGATTGTTTTGCTGGTTAGAAAAGAATAGTTTTTTTTCTTTTGTTTTTTTATTAATTATTCATTCGTTTTAGTTATGTGAAAATTGTATTTATAATTAATTAAATAAATTACAAATATGGTATCTCATCCGTCAAATATCAAGATAAATATATCGCCCATAAACATTCTTTTTCATATATCAAATTTTATTAATAAAATTTAGGAAAAATTGCCATCAATAATATAACCTTTGGTCCATTTTTTTTAAATAATACAACCTTTGAATTATATCTGAATGTTACAACCTTTGAGGTCTCAACTTTAAATAAGACAAAACTGGATACAACTTCATAAACAGATTAACAATGCCACGTGTCGCTATATGATTGGCTTAAATAAAAAAATTATTTTTTTTCTTTTCTTTCTCCTTTCCCCAAACACCACCACTGCTCCACCTAACCCCACCACCACCGCACAACTCTGGTCCCCATCCCCACCACAAGAACCTGCCCCTCCCCTTCCCGACCACTGCTACCAAGCCCCCTAGTCCCCCACCACCAGTCCGAAACTCCCCACCGCACCATAGTAGGCCCAATTCCCGACCACCGTTGCCAACTCCCACCACCAAAAAACTCCCACTTCCTCGATTTCTCCCCTTCCCGAACAAAGTAGCCCAAATTCCTCCCCATCATGACCACCCCAATTCTTCCTCTTCCCGATCACAGCAGCCCTAATTCCTCCCTTCTCGACCACCGATTCCATCCCCCAGTCCATTATCGAAACCCCTTCAAATTTCGCAAATTTCACAGACGGTTGGGCAGGGAAGGTAAATTCAATAGTTGGCCGGTTGGGTGGGGATTAGGGAAGGGTAGAGTTGGGGTGGTCAAAGGTCAGGCCGTCGGGGATGTGTGTGAAGGTAGGCTTGGGGGTTGGGGGAGGTGGACTGACCACCATGGCTGGCGGGGGGAGGGAGTTGGGAGGGACTTTTTTTTTTTTTTAAAATAAATTATTTTAAATGAATTGTTTATTTTAAAAAAATTAAAATTTAACATTCAGCCCAATTACACGACAACATGTGTCATAGGTAACCAGTTTAGTAGATTACAAGTTTTTTGTCTTGCTTAAAGTTAAGACCCCTCAAAGGTTGTAATATAAAGGTATAATCCAAAGCTTGTATTATTTTAAAAAAAAATCCTGGCCAAAGATTGTATTATTGATGGCAAGTTTTCCTAAAATTTATACTCAACAAAAAATTGTTCGAATCAGAAGCTTAATTTTTACTCTGTTTCCCCTAATAATTATTTTGATAAGAACATTAAAAAAAATATAAACATAAACACATGTAAAAAAATTATTAAATACACACAAACATATGTAATAAGTATTTAATTTAAAAATAATCAAAGACATATATACCATTCACAACCAACTACATCTAATCTAAAAAAGTAGATAAATGGAACACTAAAATGTTACCAAAAATTAAATTGATATAAAATAATCTTTACATGTATAAAATTGATCTAAAAATTGTAATTGTATAAAAATAAATATGTGCGTTGGAATTTTTTTTATAATCTCTAATTGTTAGAATAACAGTATTCTGAAAAAATTGAATTATTATTTTATTGTCATTGACAATGCGATATTGCTTCTTATTTGGAACTACTGAAAATATCCAACGGAGTAAACTTTTCCTTCAATCAAATTTGGACGAAAGTGTTAAACAAAGTTGGCTTTAATGAGGCATGAACGTAATCACCCTGTAACTAAAATTAAGAAATTAAGTTCATTTAATAACTTGATTAAGCCACCTAAATCACAAATTTTGTGTTTTTTCATAAAATAAATTAATAAAAAAACTAAAGAGGTTTATGAAAATATTAAATAATATAAACAATTTATAAAAATACCTATTCTTTTGAGCTGCTCTACTTTGCTCTGTTCTGCTCTGCTGAAATCTGCTCTACTCTACAGTGTGTGTGGAAGCCCTGCCCTGCTCTGCTGAAATCTTCTCTGCTCTGCTAATCCTTGCTCTTCTAATCTTTTTTGCGGAAGTTTAGTACATATGAAAACAAAATCAGTAAGAAAAACATAAACATACAATCGTTACATATCCTAAATAAACACAATTTAAGTAATAATTACAAATGTAAATTTAAACATGGAATTCAAAAATTAAGCGAAGAATTAACCAACCATTGTTACTAACACAAAATTCACTTGATGTGAATTTGTATTGATACAAAAATTTTCTGGTATCTTATGATGCGTTAATTTATTATAGTAGGTCTTACAAATTTTAATTGTATTTTTTTTTATTTAATTTAGTTAAATTTTATTTAATTTAATTAAATTTTAATTTTAGTGTAATCATGATTAAAGAGCAATATTTTTCTTTCTGCCCTTTTTTTTTTTTAATAATAAATACTATCAAATTTTATCTTATAAAGTTGTACACTTATCTTTATTTTTTTTTTTACCATTAGTTTATAAGATAATTTTATTTGTGGTTTTTAATCTACATGGCGTTAAAATTTTAGATGTCAAATATAATTCGTGATTTTTACCTAGGTGGCGGTATAATTTTTTATCATTTGTGACTTGTTCTTAAGTGGTGAAAGAATTTTTTAATTCTAAAATAAAATACAAATCTAATTTTTAATTGGTCGAAATATTACCCTTTCTTATGTGTCGCGCCGAATCTCCAAAAATGCCTACTATATTTATAACATATTAGATTATTTTTTAATATTTAGTATTCAAAGTATTTTTAAAAGCTTCTAATATATAATTAAATATAATATTTTAAAATAAAATTGAGAAAATACAAGTTTATAACCTTGAGAAGCAAGAATTACTTATAACCTTGATAAACAAGGGTTTATAACCTTGATAAACAAGAATTGTTTATCAAGTGGTGTATATGTAAATTACATCTAACTTTGGTTAACTGTTATTTTCTCTCTCCTCTTTCAACCTTTTGGTATTTTCTGATTTTCTCTCTCCTCCTTTAACCTTTTGTTGTTTTTTCTCTCCTCTTTCAACCTTCAATTTCAATGGTGGAATGTACACCTTTTTCATTATATGATGTCGAACAAGTCGAAATCAATGGAGGAAGAAAAGCTTATCTACCCTTTAGGGTTAACCATGCCCGTTATTTTCACTTTGTTATTTGTATTTTCGTTTAATTCCGACGGCGAAATGGTGGGGCGAAGTTAAGTTTA